CTGGTCGATCCGGCCCGAATCTGGTTTGAAACTGCTGAAAGGATTGATTTTCTCGGTTGATGTTTGGTGGTCTGTGTTAGGCTGACCGCCGAATTTGGTGTAACTGGTGGGTTTTCTAACCAGATCTTCTCAATGTTCAGTTGCAGATCAAGTTCAGCAACTTCTTGACTGATCGCAGAAGCAAAACAGAGTCTTGTTCTGGAGTGGAACTTTGCCACACCCTTAACCAGTGAGGGGCTGTGCTATTGAGCTTTCCGGGTATTGTTGACCTTAGCATGGTTGTTAGATGCTAAGCTTGTTGAGGATGATGGAATTTAGAGGAAGGGTTAACTGAAATTGCCAGCCAGAGGGAGGGGGCGTTGAAGTTATTAGGGAAGTGAACATGGCCTCTGGAGAAGGGAGGCGCCGCAGTCACGATCTAGTGCCTCTGGCCGCGCTGATCAGCAGAGAAATGAAGAATGAGAAGTTGGAGAAGCCCACTGTGAGGTATGGCTGTGCTTCCCAATCTAAGAAGGGAGAAGATTTCTTTCTGATAAAGGCGGACTGTCAGAGGGTCCATGGAAATCCCTCGTCAGCATATTCTGTTTTTGCAGTAAGTACCTATTCTTTTTTAGGCCTTTTCTTGTTCTTCTGTTTATGGTACCTCTATAACCCCCAGAGCATCGGAGAGGGCTAAGCGAATTGTCTATTCGAGTTCTGTATTTAACTTTGTGGGACTTTTGAGTGGTTCAAATCGAAGGTCAGTTTCCTGATTGATGTTGGGATTGTTATGTACTTCTCAAGTTTCAGAACTGGTTGTTGTTTGTTCAGATTCAACACATAAATGATAAAGCTTAACCTGGATCTGCTTTCTTATATGCTTTATTGTCATTTGTAAAGGAGTGAACTTTTGTAATTTTAGAAGCTTGGAGTTGCATAAACAGTTCATTGTGTTATGACTAAGGACTGCTCTAAAAAAACATAATATTCACACTGGATATGTATAAAGACGGCATTGCTTACGGTGAATTCTGCATAACTCTTATAGTTACTATCAGAAACATAATCATTTCATTTCCTTGACTACATATTCATCAAACAGAGGAGATTGGTGCACGCATGTAATTCATGAATGATTTAGTTTTCAACCTCTCACCCGCTTCTTCTAATCATTAGGTCTTCGATGGTCATAATGGAAATGCTGCTGCCATTTATTCGAGGGAGCATTTATTAAATCATATTATTAGCGCTATGCCTTGTGGTCTTGGACAAGAGGATTGGCTCCAAGCTCTCCCTAGGGCGTTAGTTGCGGGATTTGTGAAGACAGATAAGGAATTTCAGAGGAGAGGTATGGATATCGCTCTTTGGGTCAACAGTTGACATTGTATAAAGAGAGACTTTGACAAAATAATTTGGAAATGAACCATCTGTCCTATCTATTGGTTTATGCAGGAGAAACCTCCGGAACAACAGCTACATTTGTAATCGTTGATGGATGGACTGTGACCGTTGCATGTGTTGGAGATTCTCGTTGTGTTTTAGATGCTCAGGGGGGTGCTGTTTCTAATCTAACTGTCGATCATAGACTTGAAGATAATGTGGAGGAGTAAGTGTGCTATAAGCCTTATGCCTTTGGCCGCTTTTCCAGATAGCTTATTTGTTATATATGCTTTGATTGCAGGAGGGAGCGGGTTACTGCAAGTGGAGGTGAAGTTGGAAGACTAAGCATCTTTGGTGGTGCTGAGGTAAGGTGCTTTTGACTCCTGGACTTGTTTCCTCTTGACATTCTCTTCATAGTGATCAGGATGGCCATGATGATGTCAGGTTGGATAAGAATGGTTGTAATAGATGGAGTGGAGATATGTTTCTGGTTAAAAGAAGGGTTGACTATAATTAGAATTTGAGGAAACATTAAAGAGGAGCAGAAGCAGTGAACAGAGATTTGGCAAGAGAAGGCATGGAGGTGAACACCGAATCTTAGTAACTAGAAAGCAATTATAGCAAGACTTTAACACCATAATTTGACTTAAATTTTATCAGCTAAATCCAGCTTTGTGGAGTTGGGCTTTGTCATAAACTTAAAGACCACAATGAAGGACGTGTGAAGATGAAACCCAAGCTAACAAATCTGTCTGACCAAAAAAAAAAAGCTAACAGATCTGACTCCTCATGGGGAATTCAATATCTGTATTTTGGAAATAATTATAATCTAATTAAGGGTGTTTTGACTTGGGATTTCTTTTGAGTTTCACCAACGTAGTTCTGCCTTCAGCAGTAAACACTCTTTTGAATCCGTTGCTTAAGTATGTTGTGCTATATGATCAGAAATCAGTGGAGATTACTTGTTTTTAGGGGTTACTGCACTTTGCTTGCTAACATGTGTTCTTAACCATTATAGATTGGTCCCCTCCGCTGTTGGCCCGGTGGATTATGCCTTTCCAGGTCAATTGGAGACATGGATGTAGGAGAATTTATAGTTCCAGTACCCCATGTTAAGCAAGTGAAGGTAATTATCTTTCAAGTCAGCTGGTAGAATTTTGTGACCAGGAGATTGAATAGTATGTGTCCATGTGTTTGTTTGCCTGATCTCAGAAAATTTCTACTACACTTTTCCATGGGAACCTAATCAATATTCAAAAGCTGATGGATTCTACCTCAGATTGATAGTCAACAATTGTGACTCTTGACGTCCATTTTCTCAGTAGAAAAACATTAACTTCACCTATTAATTATTTGGCTTTTGGTCACGGAATATTGCTTAAAAATCTTAAAAAGTATTTGCCCGTTAACTACCCAAACTATGTATTCGCTTTAGTTTATGTATATTGTTTTGAAGTTTGTAATTACATCGAATGAAGTTAATGCATTTATATCCTTAATGTAGTTTCTGTTGAGATTGTTTGATCTTAGTAGATCACGTAGAATTTCGATAGAGTACGGATAGATAAAAATGGTGATATCTGCTTATCTTGAAATTTAAACCTAATAACCAAGTTTTCGTGAACAGTTATCAAAAGTAGGTGGGAGACTCATAATTGCTTCAGATGGTATTTGGGACGCCCTTCCCTCTGAAATGGCTGCACAATCTTGTCGTGGTGTGCCTGCAGAACTCGCTGCTAGACTAGTGGTGAAGGTGAGTTGGTGACTAATATTTGATGCATGCTCAATTTCCTTAGTCGCGTTGAACTTTCTTGAACATCCTTATTATAAAGAGTTATCAAGTATGGAAAGGAATATAAATCGAATAATGTTTGAATTTTGAAGGAAGCATTGAGGACAAGAGGGCTGAAGGATGACACGACATGCATTGTTGTTGACATAATTCCACCTGATAATCCCATACAGCTTGCACCTCCTCCCAAAAAGCAGAACAAACTGAGGGCACTATTATTTAGGAGCAAGTCCAAGGGTTCTGCTAATAAGCTGTCAAAGAAGCTGTCAGCCGTTGGCATAGTTGAAGAACTTTTTGAAGAAGGCTCAGCGATGCTCGCAGAAAGGTTTGCACTCTTTTTACTAAATCAATGGTTTGGTATATTAAACGTGATGATTTTCTTTCATTTTTCTTTGAGATGTCCATCTTGTATGGTTTTTATTTTTGACCAATGGTTGCATGGGCATATATTTTGGTTATTCTTTGTTACCTTGGAAAAGTAGCAAGTTCACATGAATTACTCCATAGTCTTTGAATTGCACGATCACAGAATCTAGACCAATGTGAGGCTATGATGTATCACAGAATCTAGTTAGTGTACCCTTCAGTATACTTCTGATTATATGTTGGCTTGGTTGTGGAACATACAAACTTCTCTAGGAGCTTTTTCGATGGTTCTCTTTGCATGGATCTGCATAGTCTGCATCTTTGTCACTTGTTTCAGAGAGCAATTTTGAGAGCTCTGTCCATCTTCCTGCACAAAAAGTTGCCCCTTTCCATTAGTATATGATTAACCCTACCTGCCTGTTTCCATCATGCACATGGACACGCACCTGCCACATCATCTGTGTGAAAGCTCATTCATGAGAATTATCTCAACGGAGCGTTAATACTGAAGTTTGTCAAATGCTCTCTTTCATTAAATTATCTTGAAAGTATCCTTCGTTTGATAATGTCTACTGCATCAAACTCTTTTAGTGGTTGGACAAGAATCCTGTGTACTCATGGCTTGTTCTATGACGATATACCCACATTGCTTTGGCATTTTGAACACTTGATCTTCATAATGTGGAAAACTGACACATGTTCATGAGCTGTGATTTGTGGCATCAATTTCTGGACATATTTTCATATGCGCTTTAGTAATCTGATAAAGTCTACCTTTTCTTTTATTTATATTTGCTCCGATTTTGATGTTATGCAGATTAGGGACTGAGGAATCCATGGGGCAATCCACATCCAGTCTATTTGTATGCGCGGTGTGCCAAGTTGATCTTGCACCTAGTGAGGGCATCTCTGTTCACGCCGGTTCTATATTCTCAACCAGTACGAAGCCCTGGCAAGGGCCTTTCCTTTGTTGCGATTGCCGTAACAAGAAGGACGCGATGGAAGGAAAGCGTCCGAGTGGAGTTAAAGTGGTCTAAATTATGTAGCTTACATTATTTTTCTTCGTCTATTCTTTTCCCCGCTCCATTCTTTTTGTCACCATTTATCGTTGTCCGGGCGATTGTTTGAATCTTAAAGTGGTATCAACTCTAATGTATATGTAATATCACCAAAATAATGTCAACCTTTGAGTAGCATTTTAATTGAGAGTTCATTTGTGAGTTGTGAGTGCAGTACCGTCTCTCTCTCTCTCTCTCTGATGTGGTTCTTCCATAATTCCATTCACTGTCCTCTTATTCTTGCTGGTGACTACTGACTAACTAGGCCCTTCTCATGCTCCCTTATCTTATCTAGTTGCTTTATGGTTATTTTCATGCAAAGTCTACACCTGGTGCTCCATTCTTTTTTAGCAATCTTTGGCTTTCTAAGTGACGGCTCCTCAGCTTAAAAAGTCGCATTTCTTTGAAACCTTTAGATAGCAATGTTGTACAAACAGGAATAATCATGTCGTCTGCTGCATTTCGCCATTTATCACCGAAAAGCCTGAGGTTGACATCAAAGGACCAATGTTAAGGTCAACGTCTCCCTAGATGACTTTTGTTTGTTGCTATCAGACCAGAGTTCAATCTTATGTATTTGATCTTGAGCCAACTTGTAATCATTTCTCTTATCAAGTTTGTAGCCACTACTGTTTGTTACTCCATTGAGGACGGTTCAGCTGGTCAGTGAGAGTTCTAGAAAACACGCCTGCTCCTCATAAGTCATGTCCAGTCTTCCATTTGACACTGCTATGTTATCCTGTTCTATGGGATAAAGCCAAGCAATGGGGGAGCTATCTTGAGGAGAGGCTGAAGAGTGTTTGGATGAAACTTTCTAGCGAAAAGGAAGCAAATCGAGGTCGTGATGCCATTGTAAGTACAATTAAATCCATGTCTTATCCTATTCAAGAACACCCGAGACATGTCTGCCCTCGTAAATGTCGTGGGATGTGGACCGCCTCTGGACCAATCAACCCAAGTGATGCTCCTGTTCAAGTTTGCGCCTAGGCGAACTTTAGTGACAAGGGTCGGCAAGTAATGTTCGTCCATGTAACAAGGGGGCTTGCAGTGGTCCCGAAACACGGGGTAGTACGTGACATCAGACACTATGTCGACAGCGACCCTGCGTTGGACTTCGAACCATTGAGAGCCTTTACGCCACTCGGACAACGACACTGTGGGCCACATCCGTTTGTTGTATCGGCCTCTTCCCACGGGCCTAGGGTCGTCAAACGAGCCAAGGAAGCTCTGATTAGAGTTGATGAGGTAGCTGTAGACCGTGGTGAAGTTGAAAAGAGGAATGCACGTTTCCGAGAGTAACACGAATCTCTCGTTGGAGAAGTCAAGCAGGGCATTAGCCAGGAGGCGCCTCTCGGCATCGATCATGCTTGCCCTTCCCCATTGAACTGGCTGCAAAAAAGGGTTTCACAATCAAGTCATGATCACCCCAATGAAATTATTTTCTGCACATATGACCATTAAGTTTGGAATTTGACTAAACATCCTTTGCTGCTTCCTATCAACAACATGCAATGTGGTATTCGGTCACTGGAATTTAAACAGACTATCATTAACTCATCTGTCCCGGCCCTTCCACATAGCGAAAGAACAAGATCAGGATAAAAGGAGTAGATGACTCGAACCTTGCTTGGTATTCTGCGCTTGTAAAACACTGACGTCTCCGGCATTTCGTCATTGCTGAGGTCCACCGACATGTGCAGGTAGATTGAATAGAGATCCTCGTGTCCCTTGAAGAATCTCTCCCAAAGAGGAGCTAAAGGCAGTCTCCCTCTGCTCAAGAACATGAACGCCACCTTCGGTGTCCGATTGTAAGGATACTCTAGGTTACGGGGCACCATGGAGGCTTGCCATGCAAGTTCCTCATCACTCATTGAATGCCATAATGTCTTTGGACCCACCCGACCAATTGCACGTTCAAATGGGATCGGTGAAGAAGCGGCCAATGAAAGATTGAATAGCGAAAACACTGAAGTGGGTGCCAATGTAAGAAGTGGAGTCAGTTGAGCAGAATAGGATTCATCTGAAATAACGAGCCTTTTTACGTGATCGTGAATGTACATCCCGAAAGCAATTGTGAAAAACGCCATAGACAGAAAGAAAATTATGGTCGTGGTGACATGAAAGCTCCTGTCTCTTCCGATGCGCACCGTGAGTTCTTCAACGCACATGGTAATCTTCGACCTCTTCATCTCTGTGGTATTACTGTAAGAAACGGGGTTTGCAGTTCAGCGTTCAAGAGATGATCGTGCGGGGACATCTTATAAGGCAAACACTTGGGAATGAGATTAGGGCTGAGCACGTTTTTTAGGAGATGTGAACACATGGTAAGTGCCAGGCGTTCTTGGCCGGTGAGAAGGCTTTGAAACAAGTAAGAGGAGAAATTTTCTCATGAATGATTGCAAGTTCAAGCATCCCACATCCCAGGCGAAATGTTGTATGGCATGATTTGCAGTGCGAGGTTCACGTTTCAAGGCAGAAAAGAAACGAGAGACAGGTTGAGTATCATAGTCTGGGCAGCTAAATCTTCAGTCAGATCAGAAGCTACGCGATTCTTTACATATAGAAAAAGGCATTGGACTAATTATTTTCAGGCATCGACGACTTTTTCCAGAGGTTCAACTTCAACCCCAACATCAGTTACAGAGTGCTGGGTTTTCAATGATTTAAGCGCTGGCGTTGTCCTTGTGCTTGTGACCAATGCTGGAACTGATTTAACTTTCAAATCCATCCTATGGTAATCAGACTTGTACATGCACCGAGTCTGCTTCAGTTCTAATGTGGAAGAAAGATATGTATGGCGATCTGTATAGAGAATTTGCGGTACATGAATTGTTCAAAATTTGAAACACCCAAGATTAAAGCTAGGATAGAGACATAAAAAGACCCTGCAGATTACCGTCCAGCAGGGAGAAAAGGGAATGCATATATCTTTCCCATGTGCATCCATGTCTGAAGTACTACAGCAATAAAATAGTTCAGATCCTCCCCTGGCGGATAATCAGCTATCCACGAAGTTCATGTTTGACGACATAACTTTGTTACTCTGTTCTGAGAACGAGGATTGCAAGTTTCTCTCTTTAACTATTTGACATTGAGCTTGTTTTGATTAAGTAAATTGAGGCGAAGCCAGCTATCAGGCCAGAAACTATAAATGTTGACTTGCTTAGCTTCCGGTACCTCACAATCAATAGATATATAAAGTAGGACCAAAGCCACCAAATGAAGAATTGCAGCTTACAGCTTCTTTCGAATTTCTGACTCGAAAATTCCTGCATCAGGGCAATAAGCTATGATCAGTCTGTCAAAATTTGAAGACTTATAGAGTTACTATCGCAAGATTAATTTCCAGTAAGAAAAAATCTGCAGCAATTGCAGTGAACAACGCGTTTGCATTCTCATGTCTAATGATTTACCGAGTCGATCAACTTAAAAAAGCAGCTAAGAACTTTCAGGCCTTACGTTCAAAGTATGCAAGGTCCAATTTAAATTAGAGCAGGTGGAGGCCGACCAGAGAGCAGCTCTCCTTATTTGGCCTCATTTTTATCCAAGTTGTCAGCAAATGCAACCAAACTGTGACTGAAAGTGTCCATTGAAAAGTCCTGCAAACTCTTAACCTTCATTCAGTTTTAACTCCAACAAAATTGTTCAGAGACTCTGTGTGAAATAAAAACAGAAGTTAATATAGCATGACTTGTGTTGGCTGCCTGTACAATGGGATGAATCCCAAACCTTGCAAGGATAAGAACCACCACCACCATAAAGCTTTGAATATTTTCAATTAGATTACCAAATATGGATTCTGGCATCCTATCTCAACTCAGTGATCCATTAATATTACACAGAAAATCAGGTTTTTCCCTATTATTTCGACTACCTGGTTCATCCTAGTTTCATTTTAGTTTCACCATCTAATGAGATCGACTTCAACATCAAAGATCACTTGGTAACAAGAATACAGAGAAGATAGCTTCTTGGAGGCTGATATTAATCAATTCAAGCTAGAAAGGGTTGCAAAATTTTATTGCAAATGGAATAGCTTCCTCCATTGCTAGAGGCTAGCCGTTGCTTGAACACAATCTCCTCAAAAAAAATCTAAAAAGGCTGACCAAACTTCAATCTCAAAGCTGAACTTACTACAAGAGTGACACTATTCTTAAGTAGTCCTCTGCAATAACTGGAGTTACATTGATAGAATTGGTCAAAATCATTGGCTGAATGATAAACTAGTATAATTGTTTCCCGACACTGGACTAGCTGCATAAAGAAACAGCTTTGATAGCAAAATGTGAATCATTTACACAGCACAATTAGAAGCTCCAGAAGAACGCCATCAGAATTGATATGAAAAGCACTCTAGAATGAAGGACTTATTATGTATATTGTATAATTCCTTGTATTTCCATATAATTCCTAATTTTTGGGGAGGCTATTAAGCAACACATGATTTCCAAAGCAGTGACAAGAAATGCTACAACAGTACCCTTGTGAAGATAGTGAGGCTTGCTTTTTTTCACATCCAGGACAACCAATGACTGGACTTGAGAATGCTTGAGGTGAAACGAGAATCAAGGCGTAAAATGGAAAATCCTTCATGCTGCTCTATTAAGAGAAAACGTTCAGTAGGGTCATTTCAATTCATTCTGTTCAGTTCTAGAATTTCCGGTTGAAGTAAGAAAGCGTCTCTATTTTTTAACCTGTAGGATCTAAATATAAGGAATACTCATCCTCAAAACATAGTTATTTTTAATTCTCTGTACAAAAGTTAGTAGGCACACAGGCAGAGAAAGACATTAATGGACGGTGCCCGACCAACCAACCTACACATGTATTCAGCATTCAATTGTAACTGCAGGTTGAATGTTGAATTTTCGGACAAACCTTTGGCAACTTATCTTGTTGGGCCAAATGATCCACGTGAACCCTCACATTGTACGAAGCAATAAGCCAAAAACTGCGATCAACCCCAGAATAGACATTTGCAACAATGTCAAATAATGTCTGCGCTCCACCTTCTATAGCTTTCAATATGGTTTCCTCTCTCTTCCTACGATTCCTGAATACAGAAGCGACAGTGAGAACTAGCTATCTGTCCCAGTTTAATTTCAATGTAGTTTGGTGACCTAAAATGATCAGGTTTAGGGAAAGTAAAGCAAATGCACATCTGACACCAACCGTACACGTGACATCATTCATACAAGCTGAAGCAGCCAAAATTAATGTCTATGTTCGTACTTTGCATGAGCTGAAAAACCAAGTATTTTCCTTGAACAGTTGAAAATGTTTACCCTGCCAAAGCCATCAAATCATCCCACACGATCTTTGACAGTGATCCAAAAACCACCAAACTTTTTTCTTGGAAATAATAAAAAGAAACCTCCAAGGTAACAAATAAAAGTTGCGAAGGTGGAGTTGTAATTTTGGATGTAGGTTTTAGTATGATAAGATAGAAGTCTAGGGAGCAAAGCTGATTACATACTTCAGATATCCACAAAGCATGTGCTTTGGCCACAGGTTGACTCTCCCGTGCATGGGGATGAGAGCATGTGGAGAGAGCTCCATGAATTTGTATGTTGATTGGTAGTAATCCTGTGATAGCAGAAGGGTCATCAAGAATGGTTTCAAGATAACAAAGCATAGGAGCACTATATCTTCTCAGAAGACAATACAATCATTTCTTAAGGTTTCCCAAATTACTGCACATTTGTTCATTCACAATTAACTCTAGAATCTTTTGGCAGCACTAGATAAGAGAAGTGCTATGTTCTTAATTGGCATAATACAGCTCTGTCTTGGTTAATATCGAATAAAAACTCCACAGTTGACCAAATAATTTAAAAGTTTTTAACTGATAAGAAGTGAGACGAGCCATCAATTGACTCCTCAAGAAGACAATTGTAAGTAGCATTGAAGTCTAAATGAACTTTTGAAGTTCGAGTTCGTCAATGTAAATTTCGTAATCGCGTTCAAGTTTAAACAAAGACACCATAACAAAGTAAATAAACAGTTAAATCCATGGAAATCCCGGTAACCAACTCATCACTGGAGCTTAATTTAGAAAATAATCCCTGGAAAAGCCCAAATCAAAATAAGATGCATATAACTACGAAGAGCTCACTGAGTCAATGCAGTATAGGGTACAGGTGCTGCTTGTGTTGTGGCACGGTTAAGGAATTATTTTATTTCTCAGTATAGGTGCTTAGAAGTGTATACATCTGAAAAACCATATAATGTATATTACAAAAAGATAAGGGGTCCACAGTAAAACCCAACTATTCAGTCACAATTACTCTCTTTCGTTTCTCATCCTTCACAAATCACGTTGCACTCCACGTAGCTTTCAATCTAGTGTCCCATGAAAGTATTATACACAATGAGAATTGTCTGCCACTTTGTCAAGAAGAAACCGATTTATGGTGAAATTGCAACAGCCTTTGTAAATCTAGTGATCGACTTGCCAATTTGTTTACAAAATCTCTTAGAGGTCCCTGTTTGAGTTACATTTGTAACAAGTCAGGAACATATAATTTATAAGCTCCAAATTGAGGCGGAACGTGGGGAAAATTGTTTAGTCGTTCCGATGGTATACTAGTAAATAGTCATACAATATCTACGGTAAATTCATTTGGTGTACAAAGTAAATCCTAACCATCAAATCTCAATTCCTCTCTCATTCATTTTTCCTCGACTTTCAGAGGCCCAGCATTTACGCATTATCACATACATGAATACTTATAATTAACTTAGTTTGATTTATTTGAATCTTTTTTATATAGCCTAGTATTCTAAATTTCTTAAAATTCGACTTATATACATGATATGGAATGATATCATAAGAATGAGAGAACACAATTCATTGACAAATAATCTGAATTAGGAAGAAACTAGGAAACATAGGTAATTGAGAGTGGGAAGTTATCACGAATGTTATCAAGGGGGAGACAATTCTTTTCTCAGACAAAAAAAAAATGTGCACATAAACATAAGAGACAGAAGAAGGGGAATGACTGACTGAGTGTGCCCGAGCCAGAAAATGCAAAATGAAAATATTCTTTTATGCAAAAAGATTCAAACTTTCGCAACATAAGTTACCGACAGTGGGAAGCAATCATCAAAGGGTATCAAGGGGGGACAATTTGTCTCTAAAGCAATTTGGCAAGTGAGGGTTCTGACTACAGTTTTTTTTTTTTTTTTTGCTGGGGAAGCAACTTGGTGACGAATCCTTGCTTTAGATAACCTACAACTAAGAGGCAAAGTACTTGTTAATGGATGTTTCCTCTGCAAAAAGGAGGCAAATTTAGTGCGGTGTCTCCTTCTTCATTGTTCTTGGAGGAAAATGGTTTGGACAGTTTCCTATACTGTTATCTTGGATTATTGGAGGTACCTCAAGCAAGAACTTTGGGCTTGGCATGGCATTTGTTTCCAGCGCAACAAGAAAAGAAGGATTACCTCAATTCCTCTCTCTGGTTTTTGGTTGATTTGGAAGGAGAGGAACAAGAGAGCTTTTGATGGAGAGGAATCTTCCATTTCTATTGTTATTAAGAACTGGCTTGAAGTTATAAACTTTTAGTATAGTGGAAACTTGCATATGAATGTAAATGCCATAGTTTATAGTCGAGGATTTTTCCTGTACTTGCGCTCCCTTTTGGTTTTGAGAGCTGTTTTCTATATGGCTTTAGTTTTTTGGGCTCTTTTTGTATAGGGTTTGCACCCCTAAGTGCCCTATAGTTGAACTTTT